CCCCAAAACCCCAAAACCCCAAAACCCCAAAACCCCTTCCTCAAATCTCAATATTGAAATTCAAAATTCCAGCGACAACCATCTCCTTCAACCTATACTTCCTTATTGCACAATACAACAGCATAGACTCGCATGGTAGATCCTGTCAAACTGGCTTTCAAGGTATTTCTTCTGGTAGTAACGACTTGGCTGGATCAGCTTATCATCTGTCAGGAGGGGTCTACTGACTTCTTCATTTGGTGTATCTTCTCTAGGACCTAAAACTAACCCCTTTATGGTTCCACTAGCCTGATCTTTAGAGCTAGGCCCAGCCGAGGAGGCCTTCTGACTCTTTAGTGGTCCCTTGGCTATATCTTCATGGAGAACTCAATCAATGGCACGGAGATGTCTTTCGAAATGTCAAGTTTTTCAAATTTCTTGTCCTTGACAATATGTAAATGCACGTAGTTTTTTCCCTTATTTTTAGCAATATACTTTTTGAACTCGATTGCCTTCTCAATCTTTGTAGTCGTCTTTTTCCCTTTATTTATCAACAAAATTGGACAAGAAATTTTATCTGTTTTCACGAATTCATCTTCCTTAAGGGTAGGAACGAAGCCTATCCCTTCCTCTGCGTGGTCAAGCTTTTGGAATTCATATTCAATAAGTGTCAGAAGAGCACAGTTGTGCTCTGCAGCCATCTGGATGGCTACTTCAGCGCCCTGCTTACGACTAACGATGATCATATTTGATTTCTCAAAGTTGCAGCAGTCAGTAAGGACTAAAAGAGTTGATCATCTAGCTTACAGTTGATCAGTCTTTCTGATCTCTTGACCAACTCTGTATGTAACATGGGCTCTGCAAAGCAGATACCCATGCCTGGATACTCGGGAGATATCACATGACAATTCAAGTTCCTTGATAACTTTTTCATATCTTCAGACACTAATTTTAGATCGTCTTGATAGGAGTGGAAAAATACACATATTACATCACTTGGGTTTTTACAATGCACATATAGAACCGGAAAAGCTTCCTAGAGGTAATTTTAGCAGCAATTTATTTTATAGGGCATTTACCTTAGAGTAATCAACATCGGGTGTTCCTTCTGGAGTTTCTCCCTCCTTTGTTTCTAAAGTAAAGTTAAGACACTTTATAAGGAAATACGAAATAAATTATGTCTTTACCACATTTTGATAGGGAAGTCCTTTTAGTTCAAAAGAAGAGTCATAACTCACCTTCTTTAGGTTCCTCCTCTTCTTTAGAGTTCTCGCCTGTTTCTCCTATTCGGTAAAATTAATCACCTCCAAAATGTAAATTTCAGAGAACTTCACAAAGCTAGAAATTAAGATTGGATGCAAATCAGCCTAGCTCACTATAATAAAATCTTAACAAAAAATCGAGAAAATCAAGATTCCAAAGGCTTGTTAATTAGGCTGCCTTTGATAACAAAAAAAACTCTTAACATTAAGAAGCCAGCTTAGAAGTCAAATCTCTTCTATTATGTACATTTGCTCATTTCCTTATGCCAGTCATCTACAGGAGGGATGAACAGCAGCTTGCCTGCTGTTATGTCATCAGAGGTCATATAACTTGGCCTGTAAAGCACATGCGATTTGTTTGGTTTTGACATAGAATACTTCCTTCTCAAATAATTTTATAACTCTTCAGAAATTACTAAACTTGGGGTTTTGGGGTTTTGGGGTTTTGGGGTTTTGGGG